TATATGGAATTTGCTTACCAGGTTCAAGTTCCATTTCTACTTCAGGATTTGGAAGTCCTCTTTTCTGTTGAAATCTTGTTTTAGGGGCAGCCTTCGTACTGCGTGCTTCTGTACGTTTCCTTTTTCCATAACTTTCAGACTTGACAGGCATCATTTCTCCATCGCCGGTAGTAAAATTATCAAATGAAGTGCAATCAGTAGCACAGTGAGTAGGGGTATGATTAGCTTCAACACAATGTTCTTCACTCTTCCTTGGACTCTTGTCTTCAGGTTTTTCATTGGCACTTTTGTTAATAAAGTATGAAACTTCCTTCTCACATAAGTTCTGTCCATCGAACATGAAAACATCAAAATGGGATCTCTCATGATACCTAAAAATCAAAACATCATTCTCCTTCAATGAATGATCCTTAACAAATTCTTGCCAACCATCTTGGAAAAACAGTGCATCATCTTTTGAGGTTAGTTCCACATTCCATGTAATGCCACTAGGACCTCTAAGAACGATGCTCTCAGGCAGCTTCTCTTTCATATATTGAGAAAACCTTTTGGGGATTTCCTGCAAAGCAATTCTCAACAACGTCTAGAAATCAGTCCATACGCACTTAAAAGCTAAAACCTCTGACAATTCACCTACATCACTTGAAAGAAACACAAACTGTCCTATGTTTGTTCTTTGCAAATAGCGTCAGAAATGTATAACACCACAATGTTTAATCCTTATTCCACAAAAAATATAGCACAAACTGGAGAACATGCATTGAATTTGACAGCGAGAAGGTTTTGATTGAAGATCCTGCTTCTATCACAACAAAACGTTTCCACTTAAGGGGCATCAACCTTTTGGCCAGTAGTGACACCCAAGAGTGGCATTCAAAGAAAAACCACTCGCAATCAGGAATTTGATTTCTGCTCTATAAGCCAATTCAAAGAGAGATTGCTTCCCCCCACCCCCCTTAAATTACGCTTCCATCCAAGACCCACTTGTGAGTATAACATGCTTCCATCTAAAAATTACATGCCTAACTTGGATTCGACGTTTTATAATGCATCTAAAATCCTGCATTTGCAAGGCATCTTTTCTTTTGGCAAGTTGGATTCTCTTAACTCTTCGAAAGTGTCAGGTTCTTTTAACAAGATGGTAGGTTCGACTTACAAGTTGTTGACGGAAATCCCCCAGAAGAAACTGAGCGAACTGTTTGCACTGGAAATGGCTCCAATAGATGTTCTCCCATTGTCTGCACTGTTCGCTTGTCTCTCCCATTTTTGACCAGCAATGCAGCTCAAAATTGTGAATTCACCTAAATAAAATGAGCTTCGTAAACAAACAAATCAAATAAGCAGAATAAACGTATTACGAGGAAGTGATTACCAAACAAAGCTAAGAGTACCTTCAATCCTCAAAATGATCTCCCCCCTGCAAATTTTTCGACAGTGAAACAACATAAATTACAAAATTCTCCCAAGTCCAAAAGCAAAATCATCGATTACAAGACGAATTTGAACTCGTTACTTTTATTCGCAAGTTCTTTTCTTTCTTTTTTTTTTTTGCCTCTAATTTTCGAGTTATAATGCAAAGCTAGAACGCATACCAGACTACCAGGTAACCTTCATGGCACCACGGAGAGAGAGAGGGAGAGAAAGAAGTGGACGGGCAGTCGAAATCGCCCGCGTCGAAATGCTTAGGGTTTTTATTATTATTATTATTTTTTGTTAATTTCTAATAAGACATATTTAAGATTATAATGTAAACACGGTTCTTGGAAAAAAAAAAAAAAAATCTAGAACAATATAGTATTAATTGTGTATTAATAAAAATAATTAAAAGATCAAGTATGTAAATTTACCCTCACCACTTAACTTCATCTTATGTGTATTCATAAACATAACTTCTATTAGTTTAAAATTTTAAAAATAAATTAGAACAAAATATTTGATATAATTACCCTTCATTTTTATTTTCTTCTTTTTTCTTGGTTGGCCAACGTGTTTTATCCCCTTATCCTCTCTTTTCTTTTTTCCCTTCAATTGCATGTCACGATGAGTCTTCTTCCCTCTCTTGGTAGCCCACATGTCCAAATCCTCGCAGTTCATAATATTTTTCCTCCTTTCGTGCAAGCAATCGTGCCCATCCAAAATTCCACTTCAATTTTTCTTTTCTTTTTTCAAGTGGTCAGCCATGTTGGCTTCATCGGAGAATTTGTTTTCTCCCACTTGAGAGATTTTTCTCCTACTTGAAGATTTTTTTTTCTCACTTGAGGGATTTTTCTCTCATTTGAGATTTTTCTCCCACTTGAGGGATTTTTCTCTCACTTGGGGGAAAACTCTAAATTTTCTTTTTCTTTTTTCTTCCATCAACTTTTTTCCTTATTCTTTTGGGGATTAATTTTCTTGTCTCTTGTGAATTTTACTCAATTCTTCAATTCATAAATTTTTTCTTTGAACACCCCAAAACTTATTATATACACAATTATCAAAATTATCCCAAAATGTTGGACAAATTTTTACCTTAATTATCACCATGTGCCTTATTTCTAATATTCCTCAATTTATGATGTACAATTTATTTTAAATTAATTTTTTAAATTGAAATAAGCACTTAATTTACAAATCGAGCCGATATTAATTATACGTCTCAATAAATAAAAAACTTACACTTTTAACATGTCTCTAAAAACCAATTATATATATTAAATGTGCAAACACTCCTTCGTAAGTGTTCTCTCAAATAAAAATTTCAAAGTAATTAAGAAATTCAATATAATAATAAAATTGACTACCAACTAAACTTACCATCTTCAATTTTTCTTTAGATTCTACTTATAATATAAAAACTAGTTTAATTAAGAATAAATGATATGTCAAGATGAATGATACATTTTTATAAAATGCTAAAACAGAGTTAAAAAAAGAAATTCTCCCTACCAAAACTAAGTTGTTTAGTTGTGACATTCAGCTAGATGTTATATGCTTCATGCGTGGTAAAGCAAATGGGACTTTAGACCATTTATTTAAGTCATATGTATATGCTAGTAAAGTATAAATGCTTTGCAGCTAAGACTCTTTTTGGACCCCAACATCATCACCTAGAGGAAAAAGTTTTTAAAGATATTCTAGATTCTCATATACATTGTCAAATCTATATATTGTGCATACTATAGGGTAATCTGGTGGACTAAGAACTAGTTTATTCATTAAAAAAACGGCATGGATTATGTTACATTGAATAAAAAAGTGCAATCTTAAAGACTTGAATTGGATTCTATATAAGTTTATGTCTAGACAATCTCAGACTCAATAAATTTCATGAACTTTACCTCTAAAATATACCTTTAAATTAAATTATGATGTTTCAACGGTAATGAGAGATGAACAAGTCATAGGGTTGAAATAAAAGAAAATATTAAGAGCCATTTATGGGATAGATATCCCTTGGTCTGTAGGGCTGAAACATTTATTTGTTAAAGAAGACTCACATTCAGTTTTTATTCTTCTTAATGAATCTACTTTGCAGTTTATTAAATTTTGTTCATTGATTAATAATTTTCACTATCTTTCTAATACTTAATTATTTTCAATAAGGTTTAGATTCTTCTAATAGAGTAAAACATGCTTTAGTTACGAAAGCTTTTTGCATATCTGAAACTAATTTAATCATTCATGAGCCACTTGCTAATCTAGGATAGTTTGATATGTTGTATCATGAATGCAAGTCATATTCGTTCTCAAAAAATGTATAAACCAATTAGTTTCAATAACCAAATATGTAATATGTGAACTCAAATACATTATGCACCTATAAGTAACTTAGTTGAAAAATTTCATGTCACACAAAGTTTCACCTCAATGCAGTACAAATTCATCTCAATTTGATTACCTATGTGATTTTACTGCTCAATAATAGTTTAATTTATCCATTCTTAACCATGTTGAAGATCTACTAACTGACCTAATTGTAAGTAAATAATTGTTGAATAACACAATTAATCTTAAACACATAATATATAATAGGAAACTTACACATGCAAAAGTAACAATATATAAAATCTAGTAGTCTAATAAAAAAAATGAAACTTACCACACATTGTCTGACACCAGTTTTGCTTGGAAATGTTTTGGCAGTATTTCACTATTCTTACTAAATTATCATCGAAGCCATTAAACTAACCCAGTCGAGAATCCACCACCTTCGTTACCTCGATCATGATAAGAGACTTTTATCTCATGCAATAGAAATACCAAAACGAGTTGGTTTTTTATTCTTAAAGCCACCTCCATAAATCTCTTTCTCTGGTATAAACTTGTTGATATTGCTACTTGGAAGCTGTTGTTGGGGCGACAAGGATTTCAGTGACATCACTCATGGAATAGTGAGCTTGTCAGAGTGAGATTAGAAATTGTTGGCAATTTTTTGTGTTTCCGCAAGTTCACGATGGCAAGAAGGTGGTGAGAGGGAGGAATGGTGGGTGGTTTCTAGCCTCGTGGCCTGATTTAGATGCAGTTGTCGCCCTGCTCTTCTCTCTCTCTAGATGTAACTCTCTTTAGCTTTTCCCTTCTCTTAGAAATTTCTTCATTTATTTTCTTTACATCCAAATTGCATGTATATATATACAGGTGGGTACGTAATATTTGTATATAATGAAGTCAACAGAAAATTAATATCTTCTCATTATACTAAAGATTTGCATGTACATATACAGTTCTACATAATAGTCACAAAACTAAACATCTTTTTTGTGGCAACTTAATTGGGCGGGCTTCTTTAAACCTAAGGCAAAAGGGCAATTGATAAAGTTAAAATTCATGATATATATATAAATATGCATGTGTCGATATAAATACTTATAAATAGTTTCACAAAATGAATTGATTAAAAGAGTAGCTTTTTCCTGCTTTGTTATTTCTTAGTTGTTTTTCCAACAGTACATATGAATGAAATATTTTCTACCATATATAACTTCTTCCAACTTTTCTTTTGAGAACACTCTTATTTTCTAATAACAATTAATTACATACAAATTATAGCTCGAAGTAAATAAATAGAAATAGGTGTAATAATATAAGAAAGATACTAAAAGAACAAATCCATGACCAAAAATTTAAAGTATATATGCTGTAGCGAAATTATATCTCAGCTTAAAAAGAAAAAAAATAAAATGTACCCGTAGACCAACTTTTGAAATCACAAGTTGAGATGTATGGAATATTGTGAATATATATGTAATATGATTGATAATGTTTTTATCTCTGGTCGAGGATAGAAGTATGTATATAAACAATATAATTTGGGAACAAATTAAATAAAGCAAGTAAGAAATATAGAATATAAAAATATATATAGCTTGATTAAAGTGATAAAAGGTGTAAATATAATTCATTGGAAAAATAAATATGAAGTAACAATTTCCAAATCTAAAAAAAAAAAATACAGAATTTTTTAACAAGAATATAAAATAACTTTTAAATGCAAAAATAAAAATGAAAATATTTTTCTTGATTTTTTTTTTTTTTTTTAAATCGTATCATGTTATAACAAGGTGCAGCACGGCATGACAAGCATGTAATGCCTGCGAATGAAGGCCAACTCGTGCTACCACAGATCAGCCTGTGACAATTAAGCAGGTCATGGAGTGTTGTGCCGGACATTGGCATCAACACAGCTTCCATTTCTTTCCAGGTCTTACTAAACTTTCCTTAGCATGGAGTTTCTTCCCTAACCATTAATCTGTATTGAAGTTGTCTGGAAACCTAAGAACTAATGGCATCCATGACTTTTCCTGCATGCTCTCTGAAAAATTTGCTCCCTCTCCATCAATCTCTCAATTAGTTACAATAATGTTTTCTGAGGCTACAGAATATTTAATTGAGGAAAACCTTTTCGGGACAAGCAGACAGCAATATCTTGGCGAAGGATGACTGAAATAC